CACCACTGTATGTGCCGTCCATGAACACGACACACACTGCACCACTGTATGTGCCGTCCATGAACATGACACACACTGCACCACTGTATGCACGTATAACATACACACCACTGTCCATGCACATTACATATTCATCGCACCATTGCATGCGCACGTACCATACACACACAAAGTAAAAAATGGAAAAGGAACAAGTTTGGCAGAACTAATGTTTCCCTAAAGAGGTCTGGGTTCATGGAGGAGTGGGAACGCCACCTCAGGAACACTGTGGCGTTCTCTGTGTCAGAATGACTGAGCTGGAAAGCTTCCTCTGTGAAACCAGGCTAGCTACTTCTCTCTGCGTGTCCCTCCGTCGGCTGACGCTCTGCGCTCGGCATCAAAGCGTCAGCTGCCAGAGCGCGGCTAGTCTAAGAGTCAGCTGAAGAAGATCACCTACTTGCGTCTCCGCAGCAGGACATCCTCAAACACCATCTCTCGCTGTCTCTGGACCTGGGCTTGGAGATGTTGCACCTGGGCCTTTAATACGGGCATTTCCTCCGTAGACTGGTCAATAAACTGAGAAGAGATGCACGCAGGGAAAATGAGAACTGCCACAGGGTAACATGGACAAGGAGTAAAGTTGGGAAATGACCGGCCTTTGTCACAGAGGCAGTAGGGACTCCTGAGAGGAGCCTGCCAGGCTCACAAGTTAGTGACAAAACGTGATGGTGCCAAGAAAGGTGAGGGAATAGAGAGAGCGGCAGCAGTGTTGCCAAGGGGTAACATTAATCCTGAGAATTCATAGAGGCTGAAAGACATGGTGATGGGTGTCACTCACTTTGATAGATACGAGACAATGAAAATTAATGGAAGAAGGAAGTGGTACTAAAGTTCATTATCATTAACAGTGGCCAAGGTGCAATGGACAACAACAAGGATTGTAAGATAAACAGGTGGGGGTTAATAATTGTAAACGGGTCCTGGTTGACTAGGCGATGTCTGTCGTCCTTGGTCACTGATCAATCACGGTGGTTAACGTTGAAGGCCCAGGCTGGCACTAAGCCCCTCTTCCCAGATAAACTACAAGAGAATGAATAGCAACTCTTCTTGGAAGGCCAAGGCACAGAACCAGAGACTTCCTGAGTGCCAGGGCAGGACACCCACCAGTCTGAGAGATGCCCATCCCTCTGCTGTCCCCAAAAGGGACCATGACCTTCCCTGCCCACTCACCTCTCTGAATTTGTCGGCACACATCCCCAAAAGCTGGTTATCCCAGGAATTCTGCATAAGGATCTCCTCATGGGGTCGCAGGAGTCTCTGCAGAGGAAGAAATGGGAGACCTGAAGGCTAGGGATGAGGAAGAGAGCCCAGAGGCCCGCCACAAAACCTGGCCACACTCACCAGAACCAGGGATCTGAGGACATCTTCCTCCCTCCTCCGAATCTTATCGAAGAAGGACTTCTGGACTGTCCTCCACATCTCACTAAGATCATCCAACTCGTCCTGAGGTCCGACATAGGGATGAAGCCATCAGCCCTGCTGCAAGCACAACCCAGGGGCAGGGGCCAAGGGCTCACATACCTGCTGGATGTCTTTCAGCTGCTGGACCTGGCGCAGAAGGGTGGCAATCTGGACCAACTTGCCAGGATATTCGTGGTCCATGTAAGTGCTCAAGAAGTTCACTTCATAGTGGGTCTCCTTGACCTTGGCATTGAGCTGCTCCACCTGCTGCTCCAGGCCTGGAAACAGATGGAGAAGGTCAGGAGGGCTGGGGGGGGGGGAGGATGTTCCTTCCAGGAGTTCTTCCACAAGGCCTGGAATGCAAGATGGTCCTTAGCGAATGAGTTAGTGTCTGCACTAAGGCAATGACTGGGAAGCAGGGAAATGGTAAGTCTCAACACAGGCTACCACCATACAAGAGAAGAGACTGCAGAAGAAAGAAGAATGAAACTGGGTGCAAAATCACTGAGCAGTCTCAGCTCTGCCAAGACCCAGCACTCTGGCCCTCAGCTTCCACCCGTGCACATTCCCAGGAAATTAAACCCGGGAGACGAGGCAACACCGATTCCCAAGACATGACCCCAGCAGGATTCAAACAGTCCATTCTGCCTTCCTCCATGGAGTGAAGGAATGTAGGAAAATTAGATATTGTTAAGGAAGAATTGGAATGCATAATATTGACATACTAGGCATCGGTGAGATGAGATGGACTGGCATGGGGCATTTTGAGTCGGATGACCATATGATATATTACTCTGGAGATGAAAAAGT